GGCRGTGAGCTCAGGGCACCAGCCTCCAGGAAGCTGAGAAGGGGGCGACTTTTGCTGGCACCCTCAGCCCAGATCTGTTCGCACACGACAGTGAGCACAAGGGCATTCCCTCCTCCGCCGTTCAAAGGAAATTTAYGAAAAATATGGCAAAAAGAGAAGGCTGCTCAAAAGGGTCTCACGCCGACTTGACTCTGTGTCCGGAAGTCCTATTTGGCATGAAGAGCTTCTGCAGAGACCCATTTAACCTGCCAGGGGCTTCTGAACACCTGAGCAGGTCTGTTTGAGCTGAACTCTACACACGCACATGTGYCGGTGTCACACTGAGAGCAAACACCCATGCTCATCTCCAACCTGAGTCGCACATGAGGACAAAGCACAATTCCAAGCTCAGGGCTCAGCCTCCACATCAGATTATGGTGTGAAAGACCAAGTGTTTCTGTGCTGAGAGCACCCGGATGTCTGAGGCAAAAAGGCACTCACAGGGGGGACTAAAGGCCTCCGGGAAGGTGGCTCAGCGACAGGGGCAGTTTCTCCTCTCCAGAAAGCCTCTAGCCATCTCTATCCTGCTGAATGACCCACTTCTCCAAGGCCAACTCCCTCCTAGCCTCCACTGCCCCAAGGGWTTCCACCAAAGGCCCCCTGAGCTGCCATTTCAGAGCCCCTAACAAACACCTGTAGGGGTACTTATGGGGACCAGGGCAGCAGATGGACTGCATGACTGACTGCCGGCGAACAGCTACAGGTGACAGCCTAATGATGTTTTTAAAAGATGTTTTTACTTTYGTAGGTATATAYTTATTTTAATAGAAAAAAATGCATGACTAGTACCTGTGATTTCATAGATGTAATTGCTTACAACACGCATGTCTAAGTTTAAAAAATCGATTTCAACCTCATTATCTTGTATTTAACTTTTATTTTTTTGGAGACAGGGTCTCACTGTGTTGCCCAGGCTGGCTTCAAACTCCTGAACTCAAGTGACTTCCGGTCTGTTTCCAGAGAGGCACACACMACAGTGCCTGGCTGACTGTTTTTTCTCTCAGGACTGGGGACCCAACCCTGGGCCTCGGGCTTGCTAGGCAAGCACACCACCACTAAGCTACATCCTCAGCCCTTGTTTTAAAATTTTATTTTGAGACAAAGTTTTGCCAAGTTGTCCAGGCTGGTCTCAAATTTGCAATCTATAGCCTCACCTTCCCAAGTAGCTGTGGTTACAGGCGGACCCCATGATTTTCTTTTTATACTTACATGACCRTCCTCAAACACTTGTCCTCCCTGGCCACAAACCATAAAAGGCACCAATGTTGTTCAAAACTAACTTTGAAGCACTTCTTGGCTTTTCTTCCTCTGCCATGCCCCCAACATCAGTAAAACACACCAGCTTTTCTGCCAAAATACTGCTGGACTCTGAGACTTCCAACCACTCCAGCTACCAGCTGGCCAAGCCACTGTCCTATCGCACCTAGATTATTCTAGTAGCCACTTGGCAGGTACCAGGTTTCCATTCTTGCCACTAAAAAGAGGATTTTTCTCTGATCATAAATCACACCACATCAAGCCCCTACCACCCAGAAGCTTCATATCATGCTCAGGATGGAATCCAAAGGCTACTCCAGCACCCACAGACCTGAAGGGCCCAGCTTCCTTGGATGGTACTGACCCAACGTGATCCTTTCCAGCCACACTGGCCTTCTTGGGAGTCCTGAAAAGGGCAGGCCTTTGTACCCCCAACTCCCTTCCCATGTCCCCCACTTCATCTCATCAAAAATTGACATGTCATCCCCTGCCAAAAATGGCCCTCCACCCTTGTGTGTGCCTCACAACACATCTGCGGTTGGATCAGAGACACTGTGCCGTCACGATCATCCGTGCGGGCTCAGGGCTCACTGCCTGTCTCCACACATAAGCTTCACCACAGCAATGTTCCTGTACCTGCAGGCACCTATCACATGGTGAGTGCTCAGTGACACTGGAGGGGACAAACGGAAGACGTTCAAAAGCAGGATTAAAGCTGGAAGTTCATGGCTAGAGTGTGACCGTGCCAGGTTAGGGGAATAATGTGTGAGTTCATTTAACACCAGCAATATTCCCAGGAACCTTCTTGGTTTGGAGAAACTGAGGCTCAGGGACAAGTGACTCTGTTTTATCAGGCTGAAAGGGCTGGGGTTTTTTGGGGGGAGGTTGTTTTATCAGGCTGAAAGGGCTGGGTTTTTTTTGGGGGGGTTGGTTTTTTGGTTTTTTTTGGTACCAGGGATTGAACCCAGGGGCGTTCAACCACCAAGCCCCAGCCCTTTTTTATATTTTATTTAGAGACAAGGTCTCACTGAATTGCTTAAGGCCTCACCAAGTTGCTGAGGCTGACTTTGAACTTGAGATTCTCCTGCCTCAGCCTCTCAAGTTGCTGGGATTACAGGGGTGCACCACTGTGCATGGCTGACGGCTGGATTCTTTAGAACATATCAAGCTTTCTCTGAAAAWTTTTTTTTTAAAGAGAGARAATTTTAATATTTATTTTTTTAGTTTTTCGGCGGACACAACATCTTTGTTTGTATGTGGTGCTGAGGCTTGAACCCGGGTCGCACGCATGCCAGGTGAGCACACTACCTCTTGAGCCACATCCCCAGCCCTGAAAGTCTTTCTTCAAAAAGATGTGTTAAGGTATCAATCTACCTAGGGAGGAACGACGAAACTCTTCAGGATGATGTTCCACTCTGCCAACATCAGGGTACAGCCTGGTAAGCACCAAATCGGCAAACCCCCACCCTTGCCTACAATCCCACTGCCCCAGTCACCTGAGACGGCTGCACTGCTCAACACAGACTCTGGTACCCATTCTAGCCTGGGAAAGGCTYTCCAGACACCTGATGCATACATATTTAAACACATGTCCCCCTGGAATGTCCCTCTTTTCCCCTGCCTGGCAAGCTCCAATGTCCTTTAAAGCCTCTGCAGTTCTYTACTACCTGCCCAGGGCTCCTTGCTGACCCAGGTCTACATTCCCAAGAGTGCCTTACCCACCGTGCCACTGGTATAGGCTCCTTCACAAAGTTGAACTGCAAACACAGTAAGAGTGGACACCAGGCCTCACTCATCTTCACACCTGCAGGGCCAGCAGCCACAGAGCAGGTGGCTAAGCACAGGTGTCTGAGATGCTCTCAGCAGACTTGGGTCAGAGGCCAGGTCAGCAAGGCCTACACTCTGGACTAGACCCTCACATCCTCTGTAAGTAGGAACGTCCTGGTTATTATGAGGCCAGGATGGACCTTGTATAGACAACCTTGCCAGCCAGCCCCTTGCCTTACATCAAGATGCTATGTTTTTAACGCTATTCTTATTTATTTATTTGTTTGTTTATTTGTTTATTTATTTATTTATTGGTATCAGAGGTTAAACCCAGGGGTGTTTCAACACTGACCCATATCCCCAACCCTTTTAAAAAATTATCTTGAAACAATGTCTCACAAAGTTGCTGAGGCTGGCTTTGAACTTGTGATCCTCCTGTCTCAGCCTCCTGAGCCACTGGGATTACAGGCATGTGCCACCATGCCCCACGACACAATTCTTTCTTTAAAAAAGCCCACCACCATCCAGAGAAGCACATTCTAGARCTCATAAAGCTGAACTTCTATCTAACTCAGGTCCCTTGGGCCCAATTACACCTAGGAGGGAGGGAAGCTGGCAGCCACCCTGCTCTGCGTGATCCAGGTGACCAGGTGACCGTTTGCTCCTCAGCAAAACAGCTCAGTCTGCCCTATTTACCACTTCTTCCCAGTCCTTCTTTCTTAAGGGTGCAATCAAGCTAGTGTTTCCTGGATGCTTTCTACAATGAGGACATTTATACAGGGGCCCTGCCCTCGAGGAGTTTACAGAGCAGAGGGCCAGAACTCTCTGCTTCCAGTCTACACTGCATGCAGCAGTGATGGCCACCCCTCACGCACCAGCTCCAAGGCTTCAAGACCCTCCCAGACTCCACCAGTGGAACTCCACATCATGTACAACCACAAGAATGGGACGTTACGCCCCAGGTGTGTATATGTCCAAATACATTCTACTGTCATGTATAACTAAAAAGAACGACAAAAACCCTCACAAGCAGGAAGGCCACAGTCTGCTCATTTCTGTAAGGGAAAGGCTTAACACTGGGCCTGGCTTTACTCATATTTCACCGATATTAATTGAGCAACCAGCGTAGAGGGGTGATAGGAGGAGACACAATGGTAAGCAAGAGATCACAGCCTCTGTCTTAGAGGAGTCCACTTTCTAGTTCAGGGGACAGAAAAGTCCACAGGCAATTCCCACAGAGCGCCATAACAGGGGAGGACTCAGGGGACAGGCCCCCTGTCCTGGAAGGTCAAGAGTAGGCCACAGTGCCAACCTGCRTGTGCACCTGCCTGTCAGGAAATGCAGGGGCTAGAAAGCCCTGAGGGCGACTGGGGGAGTGGGCGCATCCTGGGCCCCACTCTCTCGGAGGCCAAAGGCACAGTGAGTTACAGGGGGACCATGGCTTCAGTACAGCCCCGAGATTACGGGGCGAGAAAAACTGCCGGATTTTGATCCTGTCTCTGCCACTTACCAGCTGCGTGGCCGGGGGCCGATGACGGCCACTCTGTGCCTGAGTTTCCTCATCTGTAAACAGGAATCGCTATGGTACCTATCTCCTGAGGCTGTCATGAAAATTAAACTCACTGACGTAAGGGCATGGGCACATCACGTCTCAMGCAAGCGGAGGCGGCTACTGCTATTCCTGCACGCACGCTCGGGGCTCCGCGGCGCCCCAGACCCCTTCCGGCCCGCGGACGCTCCCGCCGGGCGAGACCCCGGCGGCCTGGCCCGCGGCGCGCATGCGCAGGCCTCGCTGGGCCGCGGGTCTCGAGCGCGCCGTCGGCCTCGAGAGGGAGGCTAGGACGGCGGACACACTCCGCCACCGACAGGAGCGGCGCCTGCACCGACAGCCCTCCCGGGCTCCCAACCCCCAAACTTGGAGTGGGTCGGATCCTCACACTCTGCAGCAGACTCCTCCTCTGCGCCGCCATCTTGGAAGGACCCCCGCGGCGCGCCCTCCTCTGGGCGGAGCAACGAGTCGGGTGGCTAGAGCGGCTTAAGGAGCCGCGGAGGACTGCGCCGCCGGGCGCGTGAGCACAGCGCCGCCCAGGACGGGAGGCGGGATGGGGCGCGCGGACCATGTGCGCAGGCGCGCTCTGCCACCCTTACCCCCCCGCCCCAGGGACGGAATATGCGGAGTATCTTATTTAACACTCCATATGAGATTGTTCCTAGCCCGTCTCTCTTTTTTCTTCTTTTGGTTCCTGGAATTGAACCCAAGGCACTTAACCACTGAGCCACATCCCCACCCTCTTTTTTTCTATTTTATTTAGAGACAAGGACTCTTGAGTTTTTTAGGGCCTCTCTAAGTTGCTGAGGCTGGCTTTGAACTCGCGATCCTCCTGCCTCGGCCTCCCAAGCCACTGGGATTGCAGGCGTGCGCCACCGCGCGGCTCCTCACCGGCCGTTAAGTGCTGACTTTCTCCAGGATGCCTTTCCGAGGGGGTTCCTAAGGCTCTGGCTTAGGGCTCTGAATCAGGGGGACAGGGGAGTGAATTATTCACTCRGTGAACTCAGGCTCTTGGTCTGTGCCTGGCCCCATAGTGAATTTCACAACCAGCAGAACAGGCCTTCCGGAAGCTAACGTTTTAATTTGCAAGGACAGAATYGACATCCCAAAAACATTGCCAAGGCTTTGAATGATTGAAAGAAGTTCAAGTGTAGAGGCACTGGAGTGTGGTATTGCTGGCGACAGGGACACAGGCCAGGTGCAGGGAACTGGTGCAGAGGAACCAGGGAAAAGAGTGAGTTCAGGAAGCATGCAGGTCAGGTCACAGAGGGCCACCAAGGCCAGGCAGAGGAGCTTGGAGGGGCKTGGGCCCCAGGCAGAAGCTTAGCGATCCCTCTTGAAGGCAAAGCTGTCGAACCTGAGGAAGCCATTACCGTCCCCTTGGTAGAAAGAGTTCTTTGATATTTTCAGGGGGATGGGAGTGGGGACAGGAAGACCAATTAAGGGACTCTTCTAGGTTAACAGTTGTGTCCGCTGAGGGCCGTGGGTGAATTTTATTTAGGAAATGATTTGATCCTGGATTGGTTGTGGGTGGTTGCTGAGGTTTGAATGTGTCCTCCCCAAATTCATGTGTTAATGGTAATTGGAGGTGAGGCCTTAGGGACTTAATTAGGATTACGGAGATCCTGAGGGGGTGCCTCACGACRTCATTAATGGCTTTTTGAGAGGAAGAGAGACTCATTCGCACACTTGCCTGCAGCGCCCTCCGCCGTGTTGTGATGCAGCGCAGGACCCTTGCCAGCAGCTGCTCCAGGCTCTGGGACTCCCCAGCCTCTGGAACTATGATCCAAATAAACTTTTATTCTTTATAAATTTCCCAGTCTCAGGTATTTTGTTACAGCAACAGAAAATGGACTTAGATAGTGGTGACAGGGAGAGAGATGTCAAAGATTCTCCCCAAGGTAACTACCCAGGTAACTACCGTAATTTCCCAAAGAGCCCCTTAGTTTCCTGTCGACACCTGTGGAGTGCCCTTCCCCGACACCCAGAGACCACCGCTGAGCTTCTGCTCTTATCTAATGAAATTCCTCCTTAGAAAGTTTTCTTGATTCCCACCCCAGTAGGAGCCCCTCTGTCACTTTTTTTTTGAGGGGGGGGTGCTGGGGATTGAACCCAGGGCCCTGTGCATGCCAGGCCAGCACTCCACCAACTGAGCTATATCCCCAGCCTCACCCCTCCTCACTTTTAATCATTTGGTCACTTTGAGTCATTTAAAGGYGAGTGTAAATGTTGACAGTGAACCTCCCGAGGGCAGGAGCTCCGGAGACTAGGCCCTGGGTTTCTCCACAGCCTCCAGGAAGCTSCTTGGCAAATGTTCACAGCACCAAATTGATTAAAGAACCAAAAAAGTGGGGTGCGATGGCTCACACCAGTAACCAGTGGCTCCRGAGGCTGAGGCAGGAGGATCATGAGTTCAAAACCAGCCTCAGCAATTTAGCAAGGCCCTATCGAGAGGGGGCAAATTGTGACGTATGCAGTGGAGGGGAGAAATAAAGAATGTCCACGTGCTTCTGCTCCTTTCAATGCTGTATTCACTCAAATTACTCGATACAATTTCACTCTATAGGTTCTTAATCAAGAAAACAGCAATCCTAATGCTGGGCACTGCAATAGACATGATCAATTGACAGCAAACAATTCTAGATTAATTCTAGGCACTGCAGACACACTTAATCATGACAGGCTAGTGACAGACATCCCCTCTCKCGCTGAGTTCAGAAGTCTCAAGCCTTAGGCTTTACGTCCAGCAGGTGCCCACTCGCTCAGACCGCGGTGACCAGGTGGGGAACAAGGCAGGCTTCCCCTGGTGTGGAGCGGACGCCCGGCTGAGGAGAGGTCGCAGGGAGAAGGTGCGGCTCTCACCAGGGTRGAGTTTGGAGCTGGGAGGATCCCGCAGAGGCTCGGGAAGGATGACAAGTGATGGGACGTCAGGTCCTCCTCAGGTCTCCAGCTCCAGTGCACCCTTGTTTCCTCGGGCTGAATCCCTGCTCATCAGCTCTATTATTTATACTAAATTTGGGGGGCTTTTGACCCYCCTTTCAGTCCTTACCAGCTACCACTAGATTTCTCAGTGACATCATTCTGTCCGGGGTCAGAGACATCTGATCTGGTGGTTCCCACCCTGATCTTCTGGCCTTTCCCTCCTTCCAGGCCAGGACAGCCTGCCGGGGGCTTCACTCTGTTGATCAGGGTGAGGGGAAGTGACTTGTCTGAGGCCACACTGGAGGGCTCCGTGGGTGTGCCTGGGGAGAGTGCTAACCTGGAGTTTTTAAGATGGAGTTGCTTAGGCTCAGGCCTCAGGCCATCCTCACAGGCCTAAGCAACTCGGCATGACCCTGTCTCTAAATAAAATATAGCATGGGCTGGGGATGTGGCTCAGTGATTAACTGCCCTGGGTTCAATCCCTGGACCATGTCCCCCCAATAAAATAATAAAGAAGAGGACCCTGAGCCCAGAATGGCCCTTGGAGAATACACATTAAGTCAGCACCTTCTGTTTGCAGGGACTGAGCTCTGAAGGACTGCAGGAAGGACACAAGGACGTCTGCTGTGGACRGGCCTCCTTCCCCTCTGGGGACAGCGTGCCTGGAAGCCAAACTAAATGGATCCTCTTCTCCCAGGAGAACGGTGCACGTCAYGTTGGAGTCTGCAGTCAGTTAAGACTGTCTCCTGCCGGAGGGACAGAGGCACCGCAGCCACTGGCTTTGGTAACCATTTAAACAGCCAGAGTGAGCTCTGGGCCACATCAAGCTGTCCCCGTGGGCGGGCTGGCTGAGGTGGACCAGGGTCCCCATGCGCCGTGGAACACACACCTGCCTGGAGCACTGGTGATGACTGCACTGTGACCTTCCAGGCCCAGACACCATCAGCTTTGGCTGCAACAGCCACCTTCTGGGAACCGAGAAGGGAAGGTTCCAGACCTCCTCTTAAGTCACAAGGAGGGCCCCTCACCCCAGCAGCGCCACCCAGCCAGCAGATGCCAGTCCCCCTTCGCCCTCTCATACGGTGTTGCAGCCACCTGGTTTGCAGGCAGTTCCTTGAAAAGATGACACATGGGAGAAGGTCGTGAAGGGACAATAAGATTCTCCCCTCGCCCACCGCCGCCCCCTTCCTTCCCCTTGCTCTGACCCGGATCCCAGACAGATGCTTTGAWGGAGGGCGAGGAGCAGCAGCTGAGCCCTGGGCCTTCTTATTCCTTCTCTATTGCGAGCATTGTGTCCAGCGGCCTTGGCACTGACCATCTTAATGGCTGCATCAATTGGAGATGGTCGGTCAGGAAACTTCTCTGCAGTTGCTGTGCACTGAGGACTCACTTGTGCATTTAAGAGCTATTTATTGAACTTCTTAGAGGCACAGGGAAATGCCRCGGGAAGGGGAGGATTTGTTTTTATAACACGTCAGCAAAGGAAAAAAGGAGACCCGTGGGGTGAAATCTGGATCTCTGTGGGATCTGGGGTGCGGGGCGAGTGGGGTTTCCTGCTGCCCTCTCTCTTTTTTTGAAAGGTATATTTGAAATGTCTTTTAATAAAAAATTCAAAATTCAGGATATGCTCCACTGTCATGTCTATCTAAAAAGAACAGATAAAAAATTAAGAATAGAGGATGGGGTAGGAGCCCTAGCCGGGGGGCCAGGAAATCAAGGGCGGCTTCCTGGACAAGGTGACACCTGAGCTGAGGCCTGCAGAGTGCCTAGGCGGAGAGGGACTGGCCAGGGCAGGGAGCTGGTGGAGATGGCCCAGCCGCAGGGACACCTGGACGCAGAGGCCCGGCTGGCTTGAGTGCGGCGAGTCCACAGGGAGCCACGGCCAGCTTGGCAGGGCCGGAGCAGCCACACTCCGAACCATGGTAGAGTCTGGCGTCCCCCAGCGAGCGTGCAGCAGGGGACGCAGGACCTGAGGACACTCCCTCTAGCTGCAGGGCAGGACCGGTTGTGGGGCTGTGGGTGAGAGACTGTCGCGCCTCGGGGGCACCCCTTTCAGACAGGGTCCCCAGGTCTTGTCCCTGGTATCTCTGTGCACCTTGATTTTCAGACCAGCTTGTCCCTCCTGGCACAGGCCCTCCAGGAAGCAGGGGTCGGTTCTACTCCTCTCTGCCACCCCAGTGTCTCGCACACAGCAGTCACCAAATAAATGCTTGGTGAATGAGCATATACTGAGCGCACACCAAGCGGCACATTCATTACTTCCTGTGCCAGGGCTACGGGTGTGTGACTGTCATCCCTGCTCTCCGGGTCCTCCAGAAGTGAGCGCCAAGATCAGGTATCCTGGGGAGACCCCTGTGGAGGACAGGAGGGGAGCCAGAGAAGAAGGGAGTTCCCCAGACAGAGGCAGGTCAGCGTCCCGCACAGGGGACCGGGGTTAGGGGAGATGAAGGGGGTTTGGTAGGAGGGGCTCAGACCTTCGTGTAGCCTAAGGAAGTGCTGACCAGACCAGCCGGGGTCCCCAATCTCTCAGGAGCCCCCTTGTGCTCAGTCGCTG